GTCTTGACTGTCAAGTTGGTCTCTTATTACTATGATGAACTAATATACTCAATTTTAGGGCGAGACTTCTAGCATCGTCCACGCAGCCGATTTTCTCTCTAATACTTATGCCTTTAGAGCAGCGGTTCCCAGACTTCTTTGGATCGCGACCCACTTGCTGATGTTAAAAAAATTTCGCGACCCCCGGAATCCAAAATCGACCTTTTCTGCAGGGCATGTTTTATCCTGAGCGAATGCGGATATAGTGATTTTTTTCACACTGGAAAATGTTCGCGACCCATCTTGATGCCTCTCGCGACCGGCAGTTTGGGAACCGCTGCTTTAGAGGACCATGCACTAATTTTTTGTCTGTTCCTTCATACAACGGCGTCTCCATGATATTCAATTGAAGATCCCTGGTGCCGCCACGGTCCAACTTGCGAAAACGACTGGAAAGCCCGCCTTTCTCACCAGTTCTCCAGATTACCATCAAGAGGTGTTACGGAGTTACCCGAGACAAGTTTCCCGACGGTATCACTTCCTCGGGTGTCGAAAAGCCAAACTCGTGCAACTGTTTCGAACAAATGCGATTTGGGCGCAATCGCAGTGGATCAAATGGGACTATTTCAATTTCGATCAAATTCGAACGATTGCGACTTGGAATTCCTGGGACGACACTTGGAGTGCATCTAGGCCATAAGTTCTATGAGCGAAGCTTCTGACTCCTCGGTGAGTGTTCACATTATTTGTTTTATTCGATAATAGAAAAGATCGCAAAGACAGGTGGTCGTTTCGGATGCTTTCGAAGTTTCGGCAGAAGCACCGATGACGCCCATGTGAGAGCGAAAACAAGAGCATGAAATGTGTAGGAAGTTCCCGGAAAACTCTTGTGAAAAGAGTCACGTGGGTAATGAAGCCGATGGCAACGTTGAGTTCCACGTTACGATCGGCTTCCCAACCAGCTACGATTAGCTGGCTCGTTATCAGAGCGACGAAGTTTCATGAATGGCGGCAGGATTCGTGAGAACGAGATGAGGGTACACTCTAAGAAAAGAGTGAGCGATTACTGAGAAAGGGAGCGAAAGTGGAGTAAGCGAATTCACTCCCTAAAAGCAAGGAAAGTGCAGCCTCTCACCTCTCTCTTTCCTGGGAACAGCCACTAACTTTTTATACTAGTTTTAAAAGTACTCTACTTCCTTCGTTTTCCGCTCTTGATTCCGCTCCTATAAAGGAGTACTTATCGATTGTACTTCCTCGTTTTTAGAGAGCATAATCGCTAACTCCACTTTCGTTCCCATTCTCGGAAATCGCTCACTCTTTTATAAGTGTACGAACATCGTAAGAATATCGCACTCTCGCCAGTTGCCATGAATGGCGTCCCTGGCTCAAGAAGGAAGGATAGGAACTGAAAAAAGGTTGGATCAACCCTTCTTATTCTTATTCTCTTGAACTGTGAACTTTTACGAAAAGATTTCGGCCCTTCTGACAAATTATTTTTGAGGGTAGTAAATTATTCAGAACCACGCCTATGCATTCAGGGCTCCAAAGGCACGAGCCATCATGAATATGCGCTGGCTAAATTCAGAAACAAACCAAGATAGTGTTTTTCAATCTTATCCTTCAGATAACTTTTAATGTTATTATTCGCCTTACTCGAACTCGGTTCTCAGGAAATGTCAATGCATACGACCCCTCGCACCTGAATACAGTCATCCGTATTCCCCGATCGGATGAAAACTATTGCCAGTGGGGGATTCATAATATTCACATTGATCGAAATCCACAGAACGCATAAAAGGCCACGTCTCGAGGAAATACAGTTATTTTGAGCCACTGAACAACGTTTGAGGATCTTCGGCTTTCAGAACGGATGAATCGTCCCTACAGGACCGTTCTGCACTGAATAATGTCGAATTTCGCTGTTTATGCAATCTACGACTGGTTCGTTCACACCAGCCAATATTCATGAAGAAATCGAATCGATGCACAAAAGCAGGCTGTGCAATTCATACCTATGAATACCTACCTACAAAGGAAATTCAAGAGAAATATTGCCTAGATATGTATTTTTGAGCACGCTTCTAGGAAACACTAATTTTTGATATGCAGGGCGTCCTGGTTTTCAGAATGCCAAGATACGTATATTAAGTCAAAATGACAGAGTGAAAACACTTCCAAATTAATGCGATGGGAGACACCTTAAGACATGAAAGCAGCCATGACGAGGCTCACTGATGAGCTCCAACAACAATTACCAGGCAAGATTGATGTTTGCGAGTAAAGAACCGCTTATGGACCCAGAGTGCGCTTCGTGCAACTTGTGAAGGTTGGATGGGGCAAAGGATGCCCTACCATTCGTTTCGCAGCTTCCTACTTCCCTTATTTCACACGAACAACAGTGATAGATCGAGCCATTTCGCGAGCAGAAGAAGCGGAATGATGAAATAGGGAGTGAAGTGCCTCTGCCTTTTCCCATGACGGTCTCAAAATGTGGTCGAATAACACGATTCCATCCACTGTTGGTCGCGAAGACTAGTCTTGTATTCCAAAGAAACGGAGCAGTCGAGAAAGGTCTCTTTTACCTTTCCAGAGATATCGCATTCTCAAATACTTTAAATTACTTTAAATGAACTTGACATTGCAGTTCACTGGCCTAAACCAGGAAATATGTCGGACGCCCCATCACCATTTACCTACCAGTTAGGATCAATATTCCACCCCAGCATACCAACATAAGCAGTGATTTTGCTTTGGAAGTTATTTTAAGGTACCAGACGGCTGATTGCGGCATTCATCGTAAACCAGGAATAAATGGAATCAGGACAGGATCGTGAAAATTCACTGCAGCTTCTTTCAAGCCTCAAATCTGTGTGCAACAGACTGGACAGTTTACGACTGTAATGTCCGTTACGGTGCAGGTGTCATGTGTTACGCATTTGTACGGAAAGTCTTTCGCTCGCTCTTTAAAGTCTCTCGTATAGTGGCTCAGTTGAACTAGATTATAAGATGGAGCTCTGAGACTCTGGAGCTGCACAGCTTTCGACAAATCAATTCAACTGGATAAAACTGTAGCGGACGTGTCAACCCATGGTGACTCTTTTCGTGTGTCTCAGGAAATTTGATGAACGTGATTCCTAACACATCTGTCAAACGAAAATGTGAATACTAGGCTATTAATTGGAGTATCTCAAATGCATCTCTGTACGTACACTCACATCTCTACGGTATCTTCCAGATGTTACTGTTGAGTAATACATTTTCTGTGATACTTGCAGCCAAGTCAAACTTGCATAAACAACTTGGAAGTTCTATCCATATATAAGGTATTGGGGAGATCTTCTTGTTTTCCTTATTATTTTCCAACTTGGCATCATTACATGTGAATGAATATTAAAGAGATAAAATTGAAGGGTAGGGCGGAGAGCATTTCGGATCATTAAGCAAGGCATAATCAAGGCATGAGCAAGGCATGAGTAAGGCATGAGCAAGGCATGAGAAAGGGCCCTTCTTTCGCATCCGGAGAGATTACGTTCCCTTAGATAGGAGAGATAATGGAGGGGAACTGATTTTTTTTATTTATAAGGAATCGAGTAGCATGGATATGGGCAATTTCTCAGCTTCCAACAGACACTTTCCATAGCAAGAGGACATTACCATACGTCGCAAAAACCTAGAGCAGAAAAGAAACTGGAAGAGGAAACTTCGGATGACTAGCGTCTCGAATCTTGCTGCATGGAACACTAACTCGGTTACGTTCCTTGCGATTCTCGAGATCGAGACAAACTGCATCTGCGAGCTGTCACCTCGGAGCGCGTAAAAAATAATGTTATTAACAAGAAGTGTCTACGAATTCCCTTAGTAGAAATCCATTTAAAATTTTTTAAAACCCAGGTTGGATCAGGCTCCCAGTCCCTTCAAAAGAGAGCTTAATTCTGCACATCAAACTTGGGCTTGTGTTTTATCCCATGCCTTTCGCCATAGAACCCGATATTCCCAGATGCATTGACTTATGTGAGTGAATCGATTGCATATTATATAAGCCGTGAAATTTGGCACCATTCAACAGCGCAATGGGGATAATGTACTCATTCTTAAAGGAAGAGAGGGGCAAAAACACTCCAAGGAATGAAAGGAAACGTGATTCCACAACATGCGGCTTATCGACGCATTCTGTGGATCTGGGCGAATGGGGATGCTCCCCGTGAATCCATTCCCAACGGAGGCTTTCAACAGACGAGGGAACACGAAAATCTGCATCCCGCGTGCACTGGCATTTCCTCTGCATTGGGTTGCTGGATCGCATCAACAGATTTCTTCCTCTCATTTATTTTATTTTCTGTGGATCGATTATCAGGGTATCAGCTGAATGAATCCAGTAAAATATTTAAAATCCATACGCTTTTCTGTTCGTTTCTCAACACCGATAATGCAGATATGCATAAGGAAAATTAACACTGAAGTATGATATAAAAATGAATGAAAAAATGCTCGATCCGTATTTGGCGATCATGGAATGTAATGGGTTGAGGTGCACCATGCAGACGGCATTGTTTCCTCCAGGTTGAAAATAATTCAATCTACAGTATTTGCTTGTGAATGTAAAAATCATGACCATGAAGCTTCGTGCATTGGGAACCCTGAATCCGAGGTGGATAGGCCTGAAATATTGACGATTTATCAATAAATCATGTCCAAGGTCACGAAATTCCCTGCTGGGATCAATGGAATATGTAAGTTACAATAACTGCGTTTATAATGGCAGCCCAAACTGACAGGAGGTACTGGCACTGGTAGTACTACTACGGCTGCAAGTACGCATTTCTTGTGCTCTCACTTCGTATCTTTCAGTTATTCTTCTTGCCAAAAAAAGCAAATGAGACAGTGAAGGAAGAAACGCTAATAAATGGACAGGGTCCATTTTCGTTTATCTTTGGGAGCAATGAGATATCCCTTCTGTTCCTTTTGCATGCGCCCCAAAAATGTTGGCAAGGATCACGTATGCTTGGGTAATGAAATTCTTTATGAGTAGGTCAGGAAAAGGTTTAGGGATGTGATACCCATAACTTCAAGGACATGACTCTGGCCTAAATTATCCTGTTTTCTGAAGAAAAAAAAATCGATGCATGCCTATTCAAGATGAGCGAAAATCTTATTTAAAAAAAAAAAGATCTTAATGAAGATCGCTTTCAACCGAAAAGGACGGCAGTGTATATGTGGCACAGAAACTTTGAAAGGACTGAATAAATAAAAACTCACTCAAGGAAAGCTATCTTCTGAGACCTTTGATGATGTACGTATTTTCCAGCTGTGTTAAAGATTTTCGAACAGGGGCGGATAAGTGACCCTTCTTTTAAAAGGCCTGCTGTCACATGGGCATGTTATTGTGAAAGAACGGACCCGAGGGAGAAGAAAATCAGGGAGTATTTTATTCCACCCTCCCATTGACACTGCTTCAGATACGATCAAGGCTTTTTAAAGCTCCAAGTTTACTCTACAGGGTGAAAAAGAGCTCACTCCAAGATGAAAGGATCCTATCTTTTTTTTTCCCCCCTCATCTCTTCCCCAAAGTGAAAAGCCCACTGAGAGAGAACATTCATCATCCTCCATGTGTGGGACCTGACTGACAACCAAAACGCAAGAAAAAGCAAAGTAACTTTCTTTCTACCCACTCGTCCCCCCCCCCTCCTTTTTGTCTCTGTCTGTCTGAGAGAAGAAAGGAAAGAAAAGAAGATGGAAAGTCGAATTCACGGAAGGAAGAGGACCGAACTCACGAGATTGAACAGGAAGAGGTTGGTGACGGAACGAAGTCTTCTGTTGAGCAAGAGAATCAGTATGACGAGAGAATTCCCCACTATGGCCAAGAAAAATATGATGGAATACAGAGGTACGAGGATTCCCAGCGTAAAGTCGAGTGAAGTCGCCTGGCCGGGTCCAGGTGAAGGTGACGGAGTGGTGGTGGTGATATTGTTGCTGCCTTGTACGAGAAGGAGACTATGGATGAGCTGAAAGGGATCGGCATCTCTGGAGGATGTGGATGAATGTTCCTTCAGGTAACCATAGACGACTCCAGGAGGAGCGGAAGAAGAAGAGGAAAGGGGAGAAGGGGATTGAATCTCCGCGGTCCCATTCCCGGCCATTCTCTGTCATCTTCCCTCCCATCTCCCCCCGCCCCTATATGCTCCAGCATTTATTCACCCTCGCCTGCGCCCTTCTGCTCTTCCTCCTCTCCTACTACCTCTAAACCCATCCCATTAAATCAGGAGCCATGACTTACTCTTCCGGTCAGCCATATACCATATAACAAGAACTCAGAAATATGTGAAGCTTACCGTGAATCGTAATCCTCTTTCGGGCAACAGGGTGGATTGCATACAACTGAATTTAGCGTAATAAAGCTTTAAACCTCCTGTAGCGGTGCTAATGGAAGTTTAAAGCTTCATTACGCTAAAGTCAGTTTTAGGCAATCCGCCCATGATTTTTCCTATTTCATTTTTAAAGTTAAGCGTTCAATAGACAGTTTCAGAAAGACAATATGTTGAATATAAAGAAAATGCAGTGCTTTACAATCGCAGCGCTGGCCGCATCAATCCTGGAATTGGGAATCTCCTCACAGCTTCGGTGATTCACCGGCTCTATCAAAAGTGGGCCAAAAAGCTAAGAACAGATGGGGATCAGGTTGGAACTGGGAGTGACTCGGAAGGAGGGGCAATTTCAGCTGACCTCATGAATTTTTTCTTCAAGAAAGGCACCGTCATTTTACGCAGCTTTACACAGTCTGAAAGTCTTTACACATTCAGCTGGTTACTCTGAAAGTCAACTGAGAGTTGAGGACACGATTTCACAGGAGAAAAGACGAATCATTTTGGCATTCTTGGCAGGCTAGATCGCGTCTTAAACGGAAAACAGATTTACGGCCTTTCTTTCTTCATTTTCCTCGATCGGACTGCATTTACAGTTGGAATTCTCTCGACTCGTGCAGCGATTCCGAGATTTCTGCATCGCATCGCACGTTCATGTATGACCGAATGGACGGAATGACATGCAGATCTGGGTCATTCAGATGGGTCCGTGTTCGTGCAAGGAATATTGACGAGAGAGATGAAGACTGCGGCCTTGACGGAAATCGTCCCTGAGGGAGGATCGCATTTTCGCTGGAATCAAGTCCCGCGACTCTCGTCCGATGAAAGCTTGGCATTTCCGAGAAGTCCCATCCATCTTCTTCTTTCTTTTCCGGGAAGATTTTCGTCTGAACAAAGTACGACTGCAAACGCAGCCATATGCTACCCCAGTCTTTCATCTATTTTAATGATTTGCACAAGCCCTGAGACCATTCTCACAGTGTGGAGAGAGAGGATCCAAGAATTGATCTGGAGCCTAACCCGTTCCAACATCGCGACCGTGAAAACCGATCCATTAGAACTCCAATACGAGGACCATCTCGCCTTCGAGTCGATCCGTCCTCGGGAATAGTTCCGAATAACCACATGAACGCTCGAGTCTCGAAAGCCGTCGCCATCTCGCACTGCAAAAAAAAAAATAAAATTCTCATCAAATTCGCATTCACTTCGGACGCGGCAGAATAAATTCTAACGGTTTCGTTTCCGGCCCGAAGAACACTTCCCCAGATCGTATGCCGCATTTTATTTTTCCGAGACAGGAGCAAAATTGGATCACGAATTTGTTTGCCTTCGGGCAAACGAATTCGCTATGGTCACGCTTTCAGCGCTCCATTATCCACAATAGTGATTACTTCATTATTTCATTTTCGAAGTTGCAAAAACTTATTTAAAGTACGTCCGTGTCGAAATATGTACCATGAGGGGGCGTAACAAAGATTTTTTGATCGAAATCATTACTCCGATAATTTCTTGTGTGCCTAACCACAAAAGTCGAATTTTTCCTAAACATCACGTCAGTTATGTATGTGTCAAGTTTCACCCTTCCGTTTCTGCCCGATTCTCTAGGTAAAAAAAATTATTGGAAAACGTCACCTCCAAAAAATATGCCCCCAGGGAATGTACTGAAAACTTGACATTTTTCCTGAACTCAGTGTGTCATTAGTCACTTTCATGCCAAGTTTCAGCTTTCCATGTTTCTCCGTTAGACTGAAGCAAATATTATTTTAAAACATTCCCCCCCCCCGCAAATGTGTTCCCCCAGGGCATTTACCTCCAAAGTCGGAATTATTACTGGACTCCCAATGGAAAACTACGTACCAAGTTTCATCCTTCCATCATATCTAGAACATGGTAAGAAATTAGCATCAGGCAGTCCCGATCGTCAATATGTATTAGATATGCCACGGGGAGCAAAGCAGCGGAAGTGGGCGGGGGTTGAGAAGAGGCGCGTTCACTAATCAATGGAACAAGGGTTGCTTTTAAATTTTCTTTGCGATGCGCAATTTTCCTCGAGGAAATACACCATTTAAAAGAGTTTCTCAGGCCTGCAATGATGCCAGCCCTCAAACCCCCCCCCCCACCCTCTGCAGGAATCCCATCGGCGACAATGAAGAATTTAGAGAGAGCGATGAGCCGAGGGAGAGCAGGACAGCTCAGTGGGTCCATCTAGCCTAGGATATTTCCTTTCTAGGATATTTCCCGTCTAGGATATTTCCTTTCTTTTTTGGCGTCTTCAAGGACGTGTCAGTTTCCATCCCAAACTAGATCATTTCACGATGGCGCAACTGCGCGAGTGAGATGCGAAGAGGCCCACATTAACACCATTTCGGTTCGTCGGATCGTCGAGTCGAGTTTGCGGACATGAGACGTGCTTTTCTCGATATCTCCGTCTGTCATATTTGCGTTTCCATTTTTGTTCTCCCCAAGGAAACTATGGGAGCATCGACTGCGTAAATGATGAGACGTCTGACACAATCGAGATTTTCATTCGAGATGAACCCGTCAGGCATTTCGAGAAATCAACGCGTGTCTCCCTTAGATGCGTCTAGGAAAGTCCCAGGTGTCACGCGAAACCATCAGAACCGCAATGAAAAAAGCATGGCCTGTCTCTCGATCCCAATCGGGGAACAGAACATATTTGCCAATTTCAACCTACTTTGGACGCACGGCACGAAAATGCCACGGAATTCATTGCCGACCTCCACAGACGAGACGGGCCTGAATCTTCGGGCCGTCGAGAACGAGGAGGTCTGTCTGTCATCGGCGAAAGATACGTCCATGAAGTCGACACGCAAAGAAGGGAGAACTTGTCAGTTGTGGCTGCTATTTCCCCTTCTCGTGGGCTTTTGCATCATCAGATAATGAATTCAGGTCTCAAGCGTGTTGTGTTTGCTGAATTTTAGGATGAACCGAGCGCATATTTGCATGGGTGACATCGACGCACCAAATGAGGAATCGGCTTAGTTAACAAATGAGATAAACACGCTCACTAAAACATATTTAAGAATGTGCTTACCGTCGACATGCGACAACGAAAATCAGATTAGTTTCCTCGAACACCACGATTCCAATGTGTTAAAAGGCGGTATGGGTGCACTTGGAAAGAGAATCCTGACTTTCTGTGGATAGAGTATGGATATGTAGATGCAAATCGAGGGCAATGCGTCATTGTGAGCGGTATTATGAGCCAGCTGCGGAACCATTGTCCCAACATGTCGGAGACGGAATCCTTGGAAAGGCGAAACAAAGTTTGGAATTCATCTTCACTGTACTTTTCAATAGAATTCAGCCGGTCTCTGATAGCTCTGGTAGGTTGATTCTGGGTGGTGTCAAACTTCTGTCTTCATTAGTTTCCATTCACACCGTCGCTAGATGAGAGGCAAGGAAAATGAGGCCCACTGAGGGGAAAACAGTATGCTGAACTACCTCTCAGAATTCGTTTAGGGAGATAAACCTGCTATGGAACAAATTCACCTTTCGAGATTAGTTTAAGAAAGATATGAACTGATTGCATTTCGTGCTTGTCACAAATCAGTTAAACGATGAGTTCAATCCAGTCTTAAATATATTTGCCTGAAATCAGATCAGTTTATCTCCTAAACCGATGTGGTGCATGTCATCCAATGATTTCATTTTCGTGATAGACGATGCTCGAGCGCAGGGAAGGATGATTTCTCGATACCCAACCCATTCCATTTTCTTCCTCCCACAGTCTGGTTGAACCCTATGGGTTCACGTTCCCGCTCCCTCAAAGCAGAAGTGAAGAGGCGGATCGGTACGATATAGCCAGTCCGTAATTGGCAGCTGCAGTAGAGATGCCTCTGACAAGACATCAATTTGGCCAAATGAAAAGCATCTGCAGAGTCAATACGCAGTGTCTACACAGGTGCCTTATGTAGAATGTAGCATATACGAGTACTAGACCACACCCGCGTCCTGCGGGATCCGCTTCGAGGGTGAAAAAAGTTTAGGAGTTTAGGAGGTTTTGCGTAGTGAAAGTGTAGCAAAGTTCCACACAACGGGAAGAGCCGGACGTAGACTGCAGAGGAGAACCCAGACAAGAGATCGCAGGCACGGCTAACGAGGACTGACTGGGACGAACTCCCACCACGGACGAGCAAGACTGCCAGAGCCGGACTCACACCACGGACGACACGAGACGGAAAACGAAAGACGGCGTGGCCGGAAGGGGGAGGTCTCACCCCCAGAAATACAATGCATGCGGGCCCGACCCTGACATGGGCAGAACCCATGCAGGGCCGCGAACAAAATAATGCTCCGCTGGAGCCACAAAGCTCTATTAAGGTTATATTCGATTACTTACTTTTACTCATATGACACGTATTCCAATCCAAGTGAGAACACTAAAGAAGTAGCATCGGGAGAAAAAAAAACTAATAAACTTTTAAATTAATCAATCAATTAACATGTTATATTTTTTGTGCTAGTCTACAGACCGTGACAGTTAATATGAGACCACTCTCACCTTCAAATGACCTCTCCTTCAGAGTTAGGTAAGTCGGTCAACTGCGTGTTGTAATGTAGATTCTTTTTGATATATCAATGAGACGTTGGTCAGAAATGCCATTCACGAAGTCATTCCCATTTTCCTTTGTCCGTGGGGTCTGACGCGTCCGAGTAGTCTCTTCGTTTCTCTGTCTGGTCT